ACACACACACACACACACACACACACACACACACACACACACACACACACATATATATATATATATATATATATATATATATATATATATATATATATATATAGATTAATGTACCGCATATCTACCAAATTGTCGTGTAAATGTTCACAAAATGAAGGTATGTAGCTATTTGTCAGAACATATCATACCTTCTCTTGAAATTCGACCATATCTAATTGCCAAATCTCTCCTGGTTCGCCCTGAATGGTCAAATTCAAGCTATCAAACGACCTTGAAGTAGCCGAATTCCTCTCCATAGACACATGTGATCCCTCACTACTGTTTTCCCCCGTTTTAAGTGTGGCATCCTCATACGCACTCAAGCGTGTACTGGCGTGGTCATTGTCTAGACCGCTGTCCAGTGATGCTAGCCCGGAACTTGTTCTTCGCGCACGTATTTGTGAGGACTTTAGGGTACTCGTAAGCGTAGCCATATCAATCCCAGTTACTACTCCCCTACTAGATACACTATTAATAGTGGTTGTTGATAGCTGATCCAGTCCCGAATTCGTTCTCCGTACGCGTATTTGTGAGGACTTTAGGCTACTCGAGAGCGTAGTCATATCAATCCCAACCACTGGTCGCCTACTAGTTGTACTATCAACAGTGTGTGTCGACAGCTGGTCGGTGTGTGACGCTTGACGGCTTGCCACTACTATCCCCGAGTCCTCGCCCGTTTCCACAACGGCCCCCACTCCCACCCCAACCTTGAGAGTAGCCTCTTCTACGACGCCAATGGGCCCATTATCAGACCCCTTTCTCTTGAAACTAAGTTTTTTACTATGACTATTACCTCCGCCACCGCCTATACTGCTACTACTAGAGTTGCTCATGCCAAGCGTTTTAAAACTACCAAACCGGCCAGCCAGGGAGGCCATACTTGGTGTGCCGGACTTACCCAGAGCTGTGTGGGACTCCTTAATGTTCTTCCCGGTGGAGTTTCTAGAGCTATTTGCACCATTTTTATCAGTGTCTGTGGTCTTTCTCAGTTTGCTGGATTTACCCATGATTGTTACTCGACACTGACGTGATTAGCGATGTAAGGCTAAATTTTAAGGATGTAGGGCTATGATGTAGAGATGTAGTGGTTCATGGGTGTACGCTCAAGACACACGCTATTTGCCGAGATGTTGGCGAGTGGTTGTGTGTGCTTGATTCCACCTCAACACGTTCGTGAACGAACTATACATACATATATATATATACTACACGTTTATCCGATTATCCTGTGCTCATCCTAACGCGCCACATCAACTTCTCTCTGACTGTCGTTTACTTGTGCCTAGTTTGTGAACGATTTCCTATGAAGTGATGGCCTTTCTATAATCTATAGGTACACATACACACTATACATTAAACTTATTTGTAACAGTTCATTTATACTGCTAAAGCTCTAGAAAATAGCAATTAAATAAATCGCTTCTTGTAGTTACCGGTTTCGATGTACGATGTAAGGAAGTGCGAAAAAGCTGACCAAACGAGGTGCTGTAATGTCGAGCCTGAGTGCACGCGTGCATGCAGCCCAGCACAATTAAATATAGAATCATAAATAAGATATCGTATTTACACGAAGAATGCTGACAATAGGGCATCTGGTATAAAAATAAAACTTTGTCCTCATATGCAGTACTTTACAAGTTTCATACGATGTACTCTCTATGGGGTTAAATATTATGGTATCTGTATCACCGTCTATTCGCGCTATTAGTGAATCAGTAGAATCAGGAATAGCGTCTGATCTATCCGATTAGAGATCGAAACGTCCTCAGAGTACGATGAGTCAAATATCTGTGGCAAATTCCGCTGTAGATCAATAGTATCGCGGTGTTAAAAAACGTATGTTGCGGTCAAGAGCATTTAGTTATTTACGTACTACAAAAAAAGTCAAAACAATCGTATTGTCCATCTGATCCTTTTTGCGGGCCTTCTTTAATCTTTATGGCTTATGCGCATGTATTTACATAGATAGCCGTAAGCCTTGACCTCCTCAGGACTTTTCAGGGGGCTATGAAGTGGGGGTTGCTTTGCACAGCAATAAAAACAAGAGACCTACATACTCTGGTTGCCCCCGGTGTACCATTTATATTTATTAATCTTTCGTAAACTACCTTAACTTAATTTAACAGCAACTGCATGGTAGCTACTTAAATCCGC